ACATTGCAATGTCAACGATGTGAACGATGTAAAGTATAAGTCACATTATCCAGCGATGGGGTATACGATGAGAAACCGATGAGTTTTTTGATGAAAATGGCATGATTGCCGGCCGGGCACCATTAGTGATCGGACGGTGACTGAGGCCATTTTGCGAATCGGTGGGGTCATCGGTAGGAAATAATTTGTAGTTAAAATTCAGCGATGTCTCCAACGATGCCTCACATCGCTCCTCATCGGTAACCCATCATTGACACATCTTTGAAGGATCGGCCGATGTATGGCTGAGCATCATCCAATATCCGTTGAATCAGAGGTCATCGGGGAGTTGAGTGGTGTTCATCAGATAACTGCCGATCACCGGTCGATTTTCGACCAAACATTGGCCCGTAGTCGACCGATGTACGAACGATGTTCACCAATGTATGAGCGATGTAATATACATCGGCCGATTATCCTGGAACATCGTTTTTTGATTAGCAATGCATCGCTGGGCCTTTGTAAGTCCGGCCGGCAACCACGCCATTTTTATCATAAAACGCATTGGTTGCCCATCGTATACCCATCGCTGGATAATGTGACTGATACTTTAAGGACTACTAGGCCGATGTGTACCGATGTTGGGGCATCGCTAACACCACGGATCACCAACGATTACCACCGGTCTACGGCTACCGGCCGGGAAATGTGACCTAGGCATAAACAAGAAAAATAAGCTGGGCAATATTGACACAATGTCGACTCGATATCGACCAACATAGCGATTTTGACGATGTGAACGATGTAAACAAAAGAAAACGGGAAGGCAATGTTTACAAATTGTAGACTCATTATCGTTTAACAAACGATGTAAACTCAAAAATTCATTTTTCTTATAAAAATTGAAGGGGTGGTATGTGTGTGTAATTGTTGATATTGTTTAATTAATTTGCTTTGAAGTGACCGTGATTAATTTTTTTGTGCTCCCTGTTATTGAGTAAATAGCTGCTCTTAACTGACCCCATATTCTGAAAATAATATGACCATGATCTGTTTTTGAGTAAATAGCCATTTAAACTAACCCATGTTTTAAAAATCAGTTATATGAAATAGTAATAATAATTTTCAACCTGTGATTTCTAAATTGTGTTTAGTTTTATTAAAAGTTGCTTTAAAACATGCTTTGTTTCACTATAATGCACGAAATATTGCGCAATGGAAACCACAGTCGGCCCCCTTAAATATCCTTTAGATATATTTAATTGTATACATTGCAATTAAAACAACAAGAGTGGTATCAGAACTGATGCATGTGGACTCAAGAACTCTTATCGATAATAACTTTCTAATTATATATCATTGGTGGAATTTTTAAAAAAAATAATTTGGAAAATTCAGGTACTTATTTTTCTATATTAAAACCATTCATGAATTGATATACTGAAAGGAAAAAGAAACGCATATTATACTTTTGAATTAAAGTAAAACTAATATTTCGAATATGTTTTCGAGTATTGTCATCATTCATTTCAATTCACCTTTAATCAACAAGTTACCAAAATCTTGTGTCACGGTGACTACTAATTCCTGAGTAATTGAAATTAAAATGTCAATACCTCCCAAAATAAAAGATATCATAATCTCCCTTGCGCATTAAGCATGCGCATGGGATTATCTTTCTCATAGGATCATTATTCAACCCTTCCAACGTAGTATTAATAGCTGAGAGTAGCTGTATTATTTCAAAGCCAATAAATCCCCCCGCCTGATCAAACCTACGAATTTTTGATTTAGGATCAAATGTGCAGAATCCAGCTGGTTTTGTAATTGTGAATGTTTGTAAGAAAGTCTCAGCAAGCACTAGATACATTTTACCAGTGTCAACAAAATAATAACGAATACGACGCGTACATGCGCGTGTGAGAGTAAAATCAACGTAAATTTGACAAGCTCGGGAAACAATTAGAGCGGAGAGTTTTTGTAAATTTTGGGGTAAAAGAATGAGTATGGTTGTCTGCTGTATGAATATCTGTTTAAGAGATAATGCCTTGACAAAAACGGAAGTGGCATGATGAAAAGCCCTATCTTGATGTGACGTTGTTACGCGCCGACGTCACCGTTGATAGTTTTCAATACATTTAAAAATGCCCAAAAATCTAGAGAAAACGTAAGCGGGAATAAGGATTTTGTGTCCCAAAAGATGGACAATAAAAGCCGACACATTTTTGAGCATTTTGTCCAACTATGAAATTCTAAGAAATGGTTGGGATGAAAGCCTCCAATATGTGAGTGAGGCAAAAAAAAATGAGAAACAGAATGAGGAGAGTTGCTGCTTATATGTTCAGGTTTGATTTCTTCTTTGGGTGTTTACAGAGTGAAAAACTTTTATGTTATAGTGATATTTTCCCAGGGACTCTGCATGCTCCAAATCTCTCAGCCAGTGATGGTCAGAAAAATGGCATCAACGACAATGAGTTTTGAAAAGTCTCCAAGATGAAACAATCTTCACTTAGGTTTACGAGGAATTTGAAAAAGCAAAACAAATGAACATTGATGATCCTGTTCCTGATAGAAAACGCAAAATTCCTAGTAAACTTGATGAAGGGACAACAGCACATTCTTTTTCATCATGTGTAGATATTTAAAGAAAAGATTTCTACGAGGCATTAGCTGTTAGCTGGCATAAATCTAGATTTTTTCCATACAGGTTAAAAATCTTATATCAATCTTTAAAACCTCGCAAATAAGGCTTAAAAAGATTGAAAATATCACTGTGATCAACAATAAGCCATAAAAGAACGAACAATTTGCTTTAACGTCATGTTCATTAAAATGAGGTAGATGAACTGAATCTAGAAAAAATAGTTGAAGAGTTTGTAAGTGAACACAGATTTGCGATTTAAGGAAGGTTCAAGTACTAAATGCCTTTGGACGCAGAAATAACTGATAACAAAATGATAAAGATAAAACAAACAAAAATACTTAAAACACTTCCTTAAAAAAAAAAACAAAACAAAACTTAAATTAAAGATGTGATTTTTTCTAGGAAACTAACTAGATTCTATGTAAATAATTAGATATATGTACAGGATGTACACCTCAAAACTTGCACATACTTATGCAGTAATCTTTTCACTGATGTTTTTTTTTTTTTTTCGATATCACTCTTTGATCGTAAATGACTTTAGTGTGCCCCTCTTCCCCCGCCTCAAAGGCATACTATAAAACCTGGCCTGGCCCCTTTGGCCTCGCCTGGTCTATAAGTTGGCCTGTCCTCTATTTTGGCCTCTAATTTGGCTTCATACCGAATTTTGGCCTGATATGATTTTATATTTTATTGTTATCAATCGATTAATGTATACATTTCATTTTTTAATCTGATGACAGTTATTTTATACTGACACACTACCGATAATCTTGTTTCACTACTGAGAAAAAAAAGCATCAGAGTTTATTTTTTGTTTTTAAAATTGTTCACATTGAAAAAAATATCTAGTAATAATTCATGTCAAATGTCATTGAAAGCTTTGAAAAATTCCCACTTGTTAAGTAATGAATCATCATCTTTCACACACGTCTGCTAGAGTGTTGTGTTATTGTGGTTTCCTGTATCATCTTAAATGTGATGTATGAATATAGGCACCAAAGCATTTTAATTAAATATACTACCATATACCAATGCATACACCAAAATATTTATATTACACCGATTCGATTACTTTGTCTAAAAATTCACATATGTACTTTAATCTCAGAACAGTTGGTTTTATAAAAAAAATTATATAAATAACATTATCAGATAATTTATAACTTTCTGTTCCTGTGCCGTAACACTGTAATTTTATATCTTAATGATAAAGATTTCTGCAGCATGGTTCTTGACAGGGAGTTAAGGTTGAAGTTAATCAGTAATGAAATGTTTATGTGCATAGGCTGTTAAGCCACCCATGTTTTGTAAAGAATTTCCTGCTACAACTTTCAGTACCTACAATTATCAAAACAAAAGTTGAGTTTGATGATAGTTTATAAATATTTGTCAACAATGCGTTGCATCCTATCAACCAGACCATTAGAACTTTATCATATAAAATGGCACATTTACTAAATCATTAACTAAAGAAAGTATCTTATTGAACATGTTGAAGGTAGAGCTATATGCTGTGTGTTATAGTCTTGCAACTGATCAATAAAAAATCAATAGAAAATAAATCAGATTGGTAGTAGTATATTATTATTACTTTAATGTTCACATTTATATACTAACAGAAATATATTATTAACCTTTACCTGCGTAATCTTTGAAATAATGAACCAATAAAAAATCAATGAAATCAAAAAAATTCTGAAAAAAAAAATTTTTTTGTATGAGGCCAAAATTTTTTACAGAGGCCAAATTTGAGGCCAGACCAACTTTTGAGGCCTGGCCAAAATTTGGTATGAAGCCAAATTAGATGCCAAAATAGAGGCCAGGCCGAAGGGGCCAGGCCAGGTTTTATAGTATGCCCGCCTCAAAGGGAAATAGCTTTCTACGGGCATGTTGTTTATACAAATGTTAATACCTATAACACTCTTGAGTGTTGACCCTATCCTATTTTTAGCAACACATATTTGAAACATACTAAATTATTCTAAGGTGTTTACACACATATTTATGATTATGTGTATCCCAAACTAAAATTTTATTTGAAATCACTTTGCACATTTACTCTTATGATAAGTTAAGTTTTTATGTCCTTTATAGCCGGCCTTATTCCTAGATGAGATCAAGGAAGGTTTTGCTTTCATATCCACTTAAAATTCAAAAGCATGTTTAATAATTACTCATATGATAGACTTAAAAACATTTCCAAGTAAAAAAATGTATATCTTTTTTTAATTCAAAAGCACTTGCAAACATGAAGTTGATAAAAAATAAGATACGAATAAATAAAAGTATATATATTTTTTTATTCAAAAGCACTTGCAAACTTTTATAATACAGAGGAAATACAGAGTACGTGGATATACAGAATCTATTTCCTTTCAAACAAATATAGTTCCGATGTAGTAATATTATAATTCATGCACCATTGGGCTATCTTGCACTGTTAATTTTTCAGATTGAAGGAATGACATCTTCAGTGAAGCAATTATTCATACTGCTTGTGTTGCTTTGCTTTTCCGATGCAGCGCAAACTTTTCAGGAAGTGTCTGTTTGTCCAAGAAATGCAGAAACCTGGAAAAGTTCATCGGACAAGAAAAATTGTCAAGGATATACCCCAGACTATCTTTGTGCAGCAATAGAGAACAATGTTGGTAAATTCGGAGAAATATGTACGAAATTCGGACTGTCTCCTGAAAGTAAGTAGACCAATGTGTTATGTTCATAACTTTTATAAAAATAAGAGGATCTACTGTGAAAATCAAAGCATTCGTTAAATTACTTTTGCATGATTTAATACCTGTTTTGTTGAAAACTAGTTAATAGTTATATTTATCGAAAGTGTTGTTAAATTAAGTTATTTTACAGCAGGATTAGGCTAACATGAGCGTAATGGAACGAAGGTTTAAAGTTAAGAAGTACATCATTCTTATTAATATTTCTTAGTTATTTACTTGTATGGTGAGAGATCGGCCGATGGAAGCATACCTGTTCCCTAACATAAAAACCCTTACAATAAAAAGTTGACCATATTATGATTAAATATAAGTTCCATGTCGCAGTTGGTTTTCTCACAAAAAAATCCTTCACTGTTCAATGGCTGTAAGTGCCGAGTATAAGTTAAAATTTGCAGCCTTCCATCGGCGACTGGTGTCGTCTCTACATGAGTAAAAATCTTGGGAGGGACGTTAAACAACATACAAACCAATAAACATAATGGCAAGCCGAGGTTCCTTGGTTCTTTTTGAAAAAAAAATTAATAAATAACGAATATATAATTTCTCTATCAATATAATATATCTTATCACATCTTATTTATATAAAGGAAAATGTGCTGTGTTGAACGATTTAACACATAGTCTAGACTCCGTAGACTGTAGAGCAGTATCAGGATGTCCTGAAACTCCATACCATCCCTCTGAACTGTGGAAATGTTAGTACAATGTATTTTATTAAACTATTTTGTGATATTAATCTTTAAATTTAAACGTGTAAAAATTATATCTTGTGCATATTCTTAACTAGCCGCCACATGCTTAACTGAAAAAAAAACTATGCATATTGAGCATGATGAAAACAGCATGTCTGTTTGAAAATAACTCACCATCAATCAATGAGTCATTTAAAAAATCATATTTTATTCACTTAACGTAACATTTGAGTATAATGCTTAATTCCACACTATGAAAGCGATAAAAACAACTAGTCTTTATCCAAGGAAACCCTTTGTTATGAAAAATTACACAATATGTCACTAAATCTATCTTTATGCCACATTTAACATTTTTTTCACACAACTCTTAATGCTTGCTGTTTTTGACTCTAAATAAAATTCAGGATTTCATGTTGTTTACAACAATGTGCAAGAAGTTTGCACGTTCAGTACGCTATTTATATATAATCATATTAAAACTTATCTAATGTTGAGCTCAAATTCAATTTCCAAGCTAGGGATTTTTCATTTCTTAGTCATATTTTCATCTCACATGGGCTGGAAGCTCATGTGAGCTTTTATAATCAACTTCTGACCGTTGTCCGCTCGTCCATCTGTCTTTCTTCCCGTTTTTTAACTTTTCGCATTTTTTTAATTCTTCTTAAGAACTACAAAGCTTATTTTAACCAGAATCTGTTCCAAGAGTTGATGAGTAAAAGTGATTTAAAATTGTTAAAATGAAGGACCAAACCCCTTCAAACGAAAGATAATCAAGGAAAGGGAAAAATAGAGTTGTGTCATTAAAAATCCCCATTGATAAACCACTTGGGCGAAGAAGCTGATGCATCCTGGGGTAGTGTAGAATCTTAATTGTTTAAGTAATTACCCCCAGTTGTGGGACGGAGCCACTTCAGGAAATAAAAGTTTTACATTGAAATATATTGGAAAATTCTGTAAATAAATTCTTCTCAAGAACCACTGGACATTAAAAGCTGAATCTTAGGTACAAGAATTACACCTACAAGAATCCTGGAGTAACATATATTTTAAATTGCTCAACGGGCCGCATTAGGGAATGAACTTTTTCATTGCAATGTAATGGAATTTAAAACAAACTTTCTTCTCAAGAATTTTTGATCCAGAAAAGCTGATATTTATGTGGTTCCCCAGAGGTAGGGTTATTTTTAAATTGTTCAAATCATGACCTCTGGAGTAGGGCGGGTTTACAATGTATGACGAAGGAAAAATCTGGTAAAAAACAGCCGGACCAAGATTTCTTAGGTGAGCGTTTGTGACCCATAGGTCAATTGTTTATTTCATGGTTATGAATGCATATTCTGGATTTCATTTTTGGTTATGATTTTTTTTACCATTAAAGAAAAGTACGAGGGCTATTCAATAAATACTGTCCTGAGTTCTATAACATACAATATAGAAATCATATGACTTTCAGTTTGGATTTTTTCTCATGATCGAATCTTTCATGAATTGACAACAGTTGATTTGACCACTTTTCATCACATAGATTCATTGTGAGAAGCTGGAAATGAAGGTTATTTGAGGCACTGTATTACACATGAATGGTAAAGAATCGGTAAACAAGAGTGAAATTAGAACTTCATTAAAGCTTCTGTAAAACTTGGCTAGAATCCCATATTTACTGAAATACGTGTTGTTAACAGACAGCAGTCAAATGTCTGTTTCAGACACACGAAATGGTTGATTTCAGTAAACTAAAATATTTAAATGGCATGAAAAATGGATGCCGTCCTAGGAGACAAAGTCTTACAACAATCAATGTACTGTTTGCCAAAATTCAACTCATTATCACTGATGATGTTTGATTGACATTAAGACACATAGCAAAATTGATAGGCATCGTTTAGGGGATAGTTTACACTGTTTTAAAGAAACATTTGACAATAAAAAAAAGCACAGTACTTAATGGTCACCTTATGTTTTGAAAAATGAGTGAAAACGACAGCGTGCAAGCTAAGAATACCTGTATAATTGTTTTTAAAGAAAAATTTCAGCTCTTATCCTTTGTCAAAAAAATTTGAAATTAGATACACTTGACAAAAATGAAATTTGAACTTTTTTAGAAAAAAATAAAGTTTTATATGCTATTTTCTTAAACATGAGTAGTCTTGTTGTTCAAATTCTTATTCGATGAGGTAGTTAAATTTCTGAAGTCTAGAAAGAAAAATTTTGCAAAAAATCGAAAGGTTTATGAGAGGATGGAACCACAATCAGGAATTAAATTTCTTCATGACGGCGTCCAAATCCACATGCCATGTAGAGTAAAACAGTTTGAGGGATAAACCGATAGTTTGTGTATTGTCACACCACAATATTTGCCAGATCTTTCACCTTTATTTCATTTTCTAAGCTTGAAAAACACATTTAAAAAAAGTCAAGGAAATCATAGGATCTGCCTTATCAACGGAGTATATTCCTTATGAGGAAAAAGGCTGTAGTCTACACATCATTTTCTCAGGAAGAAAAAAATTTCGTCGAATAAAGGATCGGGGAGTTGATAATAAATTGTACCAATTAATAATTTTGTTGGAAATAAAAAAAGCATTTTAAGCAATTTTGAGCAATAACTTTTACACATACCCGATTATGTTTACAGTTTTTCTTTAGATTTAAGAACAAAATTATTCCCTTAGCGTGACATTTTTTAAGCCAAAGTTAGAGTGTTAGTAATATAAAGTCCGTATCAGAAAATGTTATCAAAAGTAACAGGAACCCATAATATGTGCAGGAAGAGAAATTGATATCTTGAATTATATTTTGTTAGTAGGAAGTTCAACCAACGTTTTGATCGAATTTTGATTATTCAGTAAGGAAGTTTCTATCTTTTAAGCAGGTATCGAGTAAAAGGATAAGTTAAGAGTTCTCAGTTTTGTGTAGTGGTCTTCACATCACGATATAAACTGTAAATATATCTGCAATATTATTTTAACTGGTCAAATTAAACTTCTAGATGTCCGAGTTTGCAAAATCTGTCTCTTTGAAACCCCTCCCCAATACCTCTCGAGAGGAAGCTTGAGTTCCTTGTCTACCCACACTTTGCACACCAGGTAAAATCTGTGTGACGTCACATTGGCCTATACATTGGCAGAAAGGATACGCCACTGCATATTGCAGTATACGCAGGGTCTTACTCAAAAGTTTGTTCTAAAACAATCAGAAATTGTATAAAAATGTTTTGTACATGTGTTGTAATTAAAAGAGAATATTTAAGTGAAATCATTTGGCTACACCCATGAAAAACGTCTTTGGTTTCTTTCCCAGCACCGAGGACATTATTTATTGAACAGCCCGCGTATCCTTTCACATGTACATATATGTAATTTGGTAATCTTAAATGGTTTCTTTCTCATTAACACCCAAAAAGAAATTTTTATTTATCATGTTTTTTTTTTCAATTTGTTTTTAAGTTATTATCAATATAATCTACGTTCCACGTATTTAAAATTCATATTTATCTTTTTTTTTATTTAGATCCTATATGTTATGGAGATTTTTATGGAAAGTAAGTTTTTCAAGTCAAATAATTTTATATCCCATTAACTAATTTTTAAAAAGAAATTCGGGTTTCAATTACCTTTGCATATTTACATTTCACATTTAACTTAATCAGGACATGTTGCGGATACAATTTTACTCGTATCGAAATTTAAACTTTGGAACAAAACGTAGAATAAAAAGTACATGTGAGAATAACTCGACCATTTTCTATAGGCAATAAGATACTTGTTTAAAAAAGATTAAGAAAAAAGTAGCAGTGATTTGTTTAATTACCAGAAACACTAAGTATTGCATATTGATCTTTAAACTTGGTAAATGATTTTTCCATAGGACACGTTTTCCAACCACAGAAGCTGTACCCCAGTTTCCTACCACAACTGCTGTACCCCAGTCAACTGAATCTCGATCGTCAGGTATGTATTGTAACATTAAAGATGCCGTGCCTTTTGTATTAAACCTTGTATGAATAATAACCTTTTCTGTACTCTTCATTATTTGGTTCTAATAATACATAGGCCCTGTCGCTCTGGACCTTTTGGCAGTCAACGAAACAAAAGATGGTCTTTGTATTAAACATAATTAATTTATAAAAGTACATAAAAAACGCGATATTTGGAACTTCTTAGTTACGTAGGGATAGAAATACAGAATTTTACATAGGATCCCTGTAGATTCTTATCTTAAGAAAATAAATATAAAAACTACTGATGTTTTTAAGTTTTGCGCCAAAGAAACTGAAACTGCACTGCATGTATTTGTCAATGTGTAATATCGCGAGTGCATTGCAGTTACCTAACTTACTATCGCTCTTTAGCGGGGGAGTCGAAAAAGCTCAAATCCCGGAAGAGTACTGGGGCACATTGTATTGTTTGCAGTAGTGACAATCGAATGCTTTGAACAATTTTTTGCCGAAAGTATACTTATAATCTTGACCTTTAAATTTTGATCTTTGAGCAAATAAAAAATCGATTGTCAAATAAGAAAAATATAGATTATTTAATCATCTTTAAAATTTTACGATTTTTAATGAAAATTATATAAGAAAAACCCGCTTATTTAAAAATATCGTTAAAAATGTATTATTTTAGGATTAGCTTCTCTCAAAAATCAATTAGGCTGGTTCAGCGATTGTTTAGCAAGGTATTCCACCAGGATTTTAAACTTATTTGTCCTTTTAAATTCTACAATATTCGATCTTGCATTGTATTCAATAGCACATTTCCCCCAATCCAACCCAACAAACGTTTCCAAAATATCTTAATTTTTACTTTTCAAGTGAGCTTCTACGTTCGTTCGTCTGTTCGTCAGTAAACTTTTGACATTTACAACTTCTTCTCATGAACCGTTGAGCCAATTTTAATCAAACTTGGTACAAAGCATCTTTAAATGAAGATGGTTTAATTTTTGAAAATACAGGGCCAAGTCCCCTTACAAGGGGAGATACTCATGAAAAGACAAAAATAGGGTGGGATTATTAAAAAATCTTCTCAAGAACTTCAGGGCCAGGAAAGCTGAAACTCATGTGGAAGCATCATGGGGTAATTAATAAATTGCTTAAAACATGATCCCCTGGGGGTAGGGCTACAATATGGAATTCAAGTTTTACATAGAACTATATAGGTAATTTTTTTAATCTTCTTTTAAGAACCACTGGGCCAGGATAGCTGAAACTTCTGTGTAGGCATCCTGGGGTAGTGTAGATTCTAAATTCTTTAAATCATGACCCCCAGGGATAGGTGCGGCCAGAATAGGGAATGCAAGTTTTACATAGAAATACGTTGGAAAAACTAAAATCTTCTTCTCAAGAACCACTGGGCCAGGAAAGCATCTTTGGTTAGTGTGTAAATTCTAAATTTTTCAAAGCATGACCCCCAGGGGTTGGGCGAGTGTGTAGGGAATCAAAGTTTTACATAGATATACAGTACATAGGAAAACTCTTCAAAAATCTTCTTCTCGAGAAACATTAAGCCAGGAAAGGTGAAACTTATTTGGGAGCATCCTGGGGTAGTGCAGATTCTAAAATATTAAATTTATGACAAGGAAAGGGGTAGGGGCCACAATAGGTATAACAAGAGGGAAAGTTGGTAAAGAACCTATCATCAAAGTTAATCAGGTAAGCGATATGACCCAACACAATATTAAAAGATGCATATCTATCAACAATTCAAATGTACATTAATTTGAAGAACAATGTATTTTGTGGAAAAAATATTTTGAACAACTGTAAGATTATGTGAGAGGCTTTTGCTTTTAATTTGTATAGTAGAGAAAATTGTTGATTAGCTGATTATTATAAAGCAGCCTTCATATTAATTTAAAATGGATGTAAGGATGGGTGTGTGTGTGTGTGTAAAATATGTTAATGTTATTGCTAAATATCCATTGTAATTCTACTGCTATTTTGATTTGATATTGTATGTAATACAATGGATAATAAATAAGAAAAATCATATAGGGTTATAACATTAAGGGTATAATAACCATAAATATATGGCTGTCTTTGGGGTGGGCTATTTCTGAAATCCATAATATGTACAAGATAAACACAGAAATCCATGAAAATCAAAATAAAATTATTTACAGTAATTTACATCACAGTTAAATCCGAAGTTTCAAAAATAATAAATAATCACATCACTGGCCGGACTGCACTTTTCCATCTATGTACGAGGGATGTTCAATAAAAAATGTCCTCGGTGCTTGGAAAGAAGCAAAGCTTTTCAATGATTTAGTCTGCATGGTTTAACTTTAATATTTTATTTGAATTAAACACATGTCCGTAACATTTTTATCCAATTTCTGATTGTTTTTAGAATTCATTTTTTGAGTATGACCCTTCGTAAACTGGATTTTGGCTGATCCTATGATTTTCTGGACTTGTTTCTCCTTTGGGAAAGGTGTTTTTT